CTCTCAGATTTGTTCATTTCGTGATGATATCTTCAATTCTCTAATTTTGGTGAATATTTTTGTAATTTTTGGTAAAAAGTGATATTTTCGACTTCTTGTTAAAAACCAATAGTTCAATTGCTTTGATATTACATATATAGATACTACATGTAGACCTTTCTCAGATTTGTTCATTTTGTGATGATATATTCAGTTCTCTAATTTTGGTGAATATTTTTGTCATTTTTGGTAAAAAGTGATATTTTCGACTTCTTGTTAAAAACTGTAAGTCCGATTGCTTTGATACTATTCATATTGTTCATTTTCTAATGATGTCTTCAGTTCTTTAATTGAAATGTGCATTGCTAACAGCGGAGCTATCTCAGCCGATAGGCTGCTTGTTTTTAGTCAAAATATGGAATTATTTTAATAATTCGGTGTACAACGAATGTAAATAAGGTTTCTGAGGTTTACTATATACAGTATATCTTGTCAGAATCTAACTCAGTGATGTATGTTTTATGTTTTCAGGTATGGGACTACTTTGTAGACTCTGAAACCAACGATTTCATTCACTGGCAAGATGCTGTTCCAGCTTACAGTATGCCTCCCCATGAAGGTATTCCCAATGATGCGTTTGTACATACAGTCTCTGTGGAGGTGAGTTGTGTTTTCCAGGGTGGTGTGTTTAGTTGATAGCAACAATCTTGTAAGTACCTGTATAAATGGGAATATGTTACTACAAATTTAATGTTTCTCTCACTTGATCGGAACTATTTACTAGTATGCAAAATTGTCAAATAAAAATGTGAGAGGCACAGGTTTCAAACTGATAATGTGAAGCAAAACACTTGGAGGGTAGGCATTAAAATTTATTTATTTCTCTCAAATTCAAAATAGTAATACTGACCAACTTTGCTGATTCTCTCTGGATCATGTAAACAGAAAGACAAATATTAAAATCTTAAAAAAAAATATTGTTTCCGGTCAGTGTAATGCACTATCAATTTTGCCACTACACAGTGCCCTGTTGACAAATTGATTATTAAAACCTGTGCTGTCAGTTATTTTTTTTAAGCCTGTTGACTATATAAGCTGCTGTTGCAATCATTGACTTAAGATTTTACTGCCTGTAATTTAAAATGTCTTAAGCTGTAGTCTGATTCAAGTTTTCACTGAATCTTCAACCATAAAACAAAAGCTATATAAATGTAGTATTGAACTATAGAGGGCCTAGTTATGAATCATCAATCTTCCAACCATAGAGGGTGCTGTTCATGTTAATTATTTTCTCTTCTCATAGCAAATATCATACCTGCTTGGTTTACTGAGTGACGCTGGCAAACCGGTAATGTTGGTTGGTGAGAATGGATGCGGTAAAACTGGAATTGTCAATGACAGAATTCGTACAGTATGTTCTGGGGAAGTAGCCGAAGTATTGGCACTCAATGTACATGCCAACAGGTAATATACATTACTTTATACATAGTACAAATGTTTATACCTAGTTTATATTTTCATGTAATATTTTTGTCATCTACCTTTAATTTTAAGATATTATGGAAAAATACATAAATATATGCAAAGTGTTATACAAAAATTGTGTTAGGAAAAAAAATAGCAGGGATTTCCCTGATAAGTACTTGTGTTTCTCTAATCTAGCAAATATGATTAAAAATATGTTTTATATCTTTCCTACAGGTTTACTACAGCTCATCTACTGTGGCAGAGACTGGAAGAGAGATTGGAATGGAAACATGGTAGGACTTACGTACCAAAAGGAAATAAGAAACTAATGTGTTTTGTAGATGATCTAAACTTAGCTAAGGTATGTATGCAGGGTTTCACATAGACCATGTAGGCAATCACCTCAATGCCCTACCTGACTACCTTGGTACTGGTAAATGTTCACAACATAGTTTCAATCTAACCAAGGCATTTTCATAATGTTTTGCATCAAGAATGAGTGCCATCTTAATTTCAAGCCATGTCAGTAGTGGTTTTGATGAGATTTTATTGATGTTAAATGTAAACACAATAGTTTGCTATTCTCAAGTGCAACCT